GATTTTACAAGTTTTGGTGAAAAGGTAGATCCCTTCTCCATTTTCTTGCTTAATTTTATTTCTATTTAGTCCTTTATTTTTAGAAATTTTTTATCATACTCATAGACTTTGAATTATTATATTTCTATTTAGTTAACAGTACTCTAGTACCACACCGATGACATCATTTACCAATTATCTATTCATCTGTTGTCACATCATATCAATTGAATAAAAAAAAATCATTTAGTGGGTATGAGCCATATCAACATTGTGTGAATGATATTAATAGCACTGACAAATAAAAACATGATTTCAAGTTTAACCACGCAGTTGAAACTTTTAAAAATCTAAAATTAAATAGACATTATTTTTCAAAGCAAAGGGATTAAATTCATAATTAAAAAAACATTATCCATTAATCCATATTTGATTATTGTTTGAATCTAATATCTTATGCGGGGAGAATATAACCAAGGGGAATGAATCTTCTTAGTCCTCTTTGAGGGCTTATCCCATTCATGTCTTTATTCTCACAAAAAATTTTGTCAATCATTTTATATTTGCGGACAGTGATTTCAATTAAACTCTTTTACCCTTTTAATTAATGTAAAATTTTTACCCATGTGTCAAAGCGAGCAGCTCAACGAGTAATTAATATATATGTCCAATTAAGAGGCTGTGAGTTCTATCCCTCACCCCACATGTTGTATTAAAAAAGAAATTTACCTATGTAAGTATGAGATTAGTTAATTTAATATCATAACGATATTAATAGTTTTTTTTTTCATAAATATATGATTCGAAGTATTCGAATTTAAATTTTATAAAAGAACATTAAATCATTTAGATATGGTAAGTTGAGTTGTTCATAGTCAAAATATGAACATCGTTTTCTGTCGATACGTTGATATTTCTATCAAAATTTTATAAGTCCATGTTTATGAGTCAACACCTATTTTCATTACATTGCAAAAACAATCAACAAAATATCACTAATGTGTGGACATGATATTAATAACAATTTTTTTTTTTACTTGTCTGAGAATGAAATGTTTATTTATTAATTTAAATATTTTTTCACAAATTTCTAAATTCTTATCCATGGACATTGACATTTTATCTATATTTCTATCGTCATCTTTATAAAATTGAGAAAATCGTCAATCAATTTTTTTTAGACGAATAACATTAGTTAACTTGATTAACTCTATTTCGTCATCAACATTGACATTTCAAACGTTATGAAACTTTGCGACTAATACATAGAACTATTCACAAGAATAGAGGGGTGCATGTTTTAATTTTAAAGCATATGAGTTGTTTCAACTTTCTACTTAATTTCAACATTATTCATGTCCTCTAAAGTGACCCAACTAATACCCACTTTTTTTCCCACTCTTTATTGAATTCATGAGCACTATATATTTATATATAATAATGATCCACTTGAGTTCACGATTAAATATGAGGGCTGAATTTATCAAATTCACTAATTAAAATTCTTCATATATCTTAGATTCAACCCTTTATTTAGATTTCCTTTTTGAAAAAAGTTATGTTTGATTGAAGTGCATAATATAAAGCATAATGATTGATTCATTCTATCTTAATTTTTTTGCTTTATTAGTTATTAGCATTTAAATATGAACATACTACACCATGGAAGATTTTGAAAAGTGAGTTTTTTTTTTTATTAAAGATCAGTCTAATCATATAACTCACATCAGGTCCAATTAATTAAATTGTTTAAGCTGGGTCGTTAACATTTCCATTTTTATTTATTGTTTTCTCGTTAATTAATTAATTAATTATGAATATAATTTAAGGAAGCAGGAAACAAAAACCAAACCAACAAAAATATGTTTTTTTTTTTTTTTTTGAAATTGAAGAAGAAAACAAGGCATGATTGAGAGGGTCAAGAATCTGACGTTAAAAAGATAAGGACCTAACCCCATCAATCTTGATATGGTATTCTAAAAAACTCAAACGAACAACCAATCACTCAAAAAAGACAACATCCAAAGATTTCACGTTGAAAAGATAAGAAACTATCCCTCCTCCTATTACCAACCATTTTGAGATGGAATTCACGAATTTTGATAAGAAACATATAAAATGGGATAAAATATAAAAGATGAAATGATAAAAAAAATAATATAATATACTTTTTCTCTCTTTAATTTTCTCTCTTTTTCCTTCAATTTATCAGATCTCTGTTTTGTGTCATGCGTGAAAAAAAATTAGTAAATAATTGAGTGACGTGATAGATTAGTTGTCATTTTTCACAACCAAATTTAAAATAGATAGGTAATCAACAAGAATAAAATAATAAATTAAAATGGACAGAAAATGACTTCAAGTTTAGAGAGGGAACAAAAAAGAAGATGATGGAAWAAGTACAACTTTGAAAAATAGAATTTTAAATACATGAAAATGTTGAGATTATTGATTTTATGAAAATATCGATAGAAATATAGATAATATGTCGATGTTGATGAATATTTTTGAAAAAAAATCATAAAAATTAGCATTTTATCATTTTAAAATTTTTATGTTATTAATATTATGTGTATATAGTGATATTTTGTTGATATTTTTTAAATATTTAATTTTTTTACCATAAAATGTAAATATCGATTTTTTTATGTCGATTTGAAAATGTCCATGAAAATTTAGAACCAAAGAGTTGTAATTGTAAACTTGCTATAAAAGCTGTGAAGTATCATTATTTTTTGTTTTTTAGTAAAAAAAGAAAGCTGGGAGAAGTAGAATTCTTAGAAAAACAAGACTTGGTTGGGAATTTTTTTTAATAAAATAGTTTTATGCATTTTTAAATTATAAATTTTATCCCTAAAATTGAATTGTGTTTATTACTCTCTTTTTAAGTTTTAATTCCATCTTTGCATTCTGGTTTTTCTCCTAATAATTACTCGTCGTTAATCTCCTTACTTAAAACTTAATGTAAAATATTTGTTGAATTAACAAGACATAGAAAGAATAATCTAACTTAATAGAAATAAAGATGAACRKGTTAAAGATTTCAACGTTTGTTTTGTGGGGATGCATTTTAAAGATTTCGGGAGGCATCTGAGCAATTTTAATAAAATCACTCCCATTTTCGTTGATCATATTTGAAAAATTAAAAAGTTGATTTTAAAAAAACACAAGGTTGTGTTTGGGATCGGAGTATTTCCATGAGCCATGTTTGTCAAATTAAAAAATTGATTTTACAAAAACATAAAATCATTTTTAAGGTATCACTAGGACGGTGATTTTGAAAAATCGACTATTCTTAAATCTCTTTTTTCAAAATCACTTCTTCCACTATCACTTTCAAAAATACCTTAAAATCACTTAAAATTGTTTTTAAGACATAGGCGGTGATTTTGGAAAATCATTATTCTTAGATCTCTTTTTCCAAAATCACTCCTAAATACATTATTAGATACTGTGTAACATGTGTTTTTAAGATCCCATTGAGGGCATCTTCTTTTGATAATTTTCTCTCTCGTCATTCTTGGTCTATAATATTTTTTCATCAATAATCTTTATTTATCACTTATTTTATTTTATTTTAAAAATAAATGTATGCTCTAATTTATTGATAAATTTTTAAATACAATTTTATTTATATGCCGCATTTAGATATAAATAAATATTACTCAATGATATAATATTTTAATTTATTTTTAATTCAAATCTAGTGTTCAATCTTTCATTTATTTTACTCTTCCAATAGTCACCAAACCTAAACTAAATTGACATAAAAATATAATATTAAATTAATAAGAGTAAAATTTTATACGAATTCAAATATATAAAATTTAGCATATGAATTATAAGATGACCGGTAAGGGTATTGTTGCAATATGTAATTTAAATACATTCTCAGTACAAATTCTGCAAAAAAAAAAAACATTCCTACAAAACAAACATTTAATGTCGGATATTTAAAATTCTAAATATCTTAAAACACCATGCATGTAAAAATATCCGACATCTATATTTTCGAAAAACAAATGACGTCTAAAAAAATAAAATGAGATATAAAATAAACATTTAAAACACCTCCAAGCTTCTCTAACTTTCATTTTTATTTGGAAAAGAATAATCCACTGACAAGCACAAACATCTGATACAATTATTATATATGCCCAGAAACATATATATGAAATACGTTTAATTTTTGGTTTCTATTTGATTATCTGATCAATTTTCAAAATATGCTAAACTTTAAGGGAGAAAAAAAAAAGAAAAAAAACCTTAAAAAAAGTCTTTTTGGTTCGCTTAAATAAAATAACTATTTTTCTTTTCAATGTTATTTTGTTGTTGATTTTGGTTCTCTACTTTTATTTTTAATATCATTTTTTTATCAAAATTACAATACAACACTGCTTTTAACATATTTTTTAAAATGTAACCACGTCGAATTTATGTTAAAAGTTTAGAAATAAACACTAAAATGAATGTAGGTTATTTGTTTTCATTTTTTTAAATAATAGAAATTCAAAGTGATAAATTTTGGTTGGAAATAATTAACTTAACCCGGCTAAAATGAATACTATGTAAAATTATAGAAGTAGAGGAACCAAAATAAAGAAAGTATTTTTAAAAAAAGGAAGAAAAATAAAATAATTGGGAGTTAAAAGGAAAAAGGAAAAAGGAGGGGAAAAAACACGAACATCGGGAAAGAGGGAGGCATTGGGTTGAGATTTTGCCGTCAAAATCCCGTTTCGTCTTCTTCTTCATCTTTCCCATTTCTTCCTTCCTTCCCAGTTTCTTAGAGAGAGAGAGAGAGAGAGAGAGAGAGAGAGAGAGAGAGAGAGAGAGAGAGAGTCGCCGTCGCCATCGCCATCCCCCATTGATTGCTTTGCTTTGCTGCTGGAAGGAGGAGCCACAATTCTCCGATTCTCTTCATTTCTTTCATTCATTTTCATTTTCATTTTTCCAACCAATCCTTATTGTTTCTCTGTGAGTTGAGTACTACTTCTTTCGCTTTTCCCTTTCTGCGCTAATTGATGATCGCAAGTTTGAGGATGAATCGCTGCGTTCCTGATTTTGAAATGCCCGACGATTACTCTCTTCCGCCCTTCTCCTCCTTTCCCACACCCAGAAAGCCGCCTCTGTAAGCTTTATCATTTTTTGCTTCTTCAAAATTT